CTCAAATTGTGGTCATAAATATTTTGTACTTGTAAATCACAAATAGTTGTGAGTTGAGAGTTTTGTAACCTTGCACACCAAAATATCTGAAAATCATCTGTTTCCCACATATAAACTTGACACAGAGACAGGACTGAACTCAGACTTACAAACTTACATATGTGGCCTATACACCTTTTGAAAGTGTGAGATGAGAATGTGTGGTTTTGGATACATTTCCTCTTATTGTCCCCTGAAGCTTCGACACTTTTCTTCAACCTCACAAGTGAACAAATGCAAAGTAGCTCACAGTGCTCGAGAAATCCTCTTTTTTCCCTGTAAGTATTAAATGAGATATCTAATTTGAAATCATTTTTAATCTTTGAAATAAAGGGAACAATTTCACACATGGTAATTCTTTCTAAACTAATGTATTAGATTTTGGCACATGGACTGTATAATGTCTGTGTGTGAAAAGTAAATGCAGAAGTACCAAAAATCTGCATTCTTCTAAATGACGAGGAGGGTTGAAACGCTTAGTGGGGCAAACTGTGAGAAAAAAATAACTCTGCCATTCTTTAAGTGGTCAGAATAAAGGAAGTGATAACTTCTAACACACACCTATGTGTATTTTTACTAAATAGGCAGAAGGCAATTTCTGACATTTCCGCCAATGACCTGTTTGTGCTTTAGAAACACTCCTCACCGTGTGACTATTTGGGCAAGTAGAGAACATTAGCGCGAGGCAAGAGTGCTGCAGTACAATGACCTTAAAACTGACTGTTTTCATTCTGCTTTTTACACCAGGTAAGTGCAGTTCTTTTTCAGTGTGAAAGACATGATGCAAATCTTCTGTTTGTAATGTGCGGTGTCTGAAAACTCAAATATATCTTAGCCATAGTTGTGTACTAATGTTTCGACAGGTAATTACATTGATATTGTCCTGTAGTGTTGAAACTGTTCTTATTTTCCTTTGTTTCACAGCCCTGATTCTGGCTGCTGACCTTCTTCCACCGATTTCTTTGACTGCTGTTGAACCTGGTGACAATGTTACTTTAGTGTGTAATGTCTCTGGGGTGGAAATGAAATATTTCTACTGGCATAAACAGCCTCTTGGACATATGGTCCAAACTGTTGCCAAAGTCATCCGTGGCCAAAGCCCTATTTCTGATGAATACAAAGATTCTCGTTTCACAGTTATAAAAAAGGCATCTCAGTATTTTCTAACTATCAGAAATGTCAGTAAAGAGCATGAAGCAACATATTTCTGTCACACTGGAACAGATTATTCTCCTAAATTCAGTGGAGGAACATTCTTGTTTGTGAATGGTAAATTTTTTTTCTTTAATCTGTCAGTCTCACTGATCACCTTCAATTTTTAATTAACTAAAAATAGTTTATGTTATGAATTTGTCTGATTCACAGATCACAGTAACCAGAAATGTGTCTACGTGAAACAAAGTCCACAGAGGGCATCGGTTCTTCTGGGACACTCAGTGACACTAAATTGTTCGCTTCTCTCGAAGAACAAAGAAACTGCTGTCCAGTGTTCAGATGAACACACAGTGTACTGGTTGAGAGCTGGACCAGAAGGATTTGATTTAAACATCATTAACACTCACAGGAACAGCAGAACTGAAGATGTGAAGAGAAGTTGTGTCTTCAGCCTGTCCAAAACGATACAGAACTCCTCTGATGCTGGGACTTACTATTGTGCTGTGGTCACATGTGGAAAGATCCTGTTTGGTAATGGAACTCAAGTAGAGACACGTATGTAGTGAACATTTGTATTTAAATCAGAAACTAGCTTGCTTTTTCTTTTTTTTTAGAAAATTGTTTTACTCATTTCATCAGTAAATCAATATTTGTATCAATATTTTATAGACTGATTTCGAATACACGAGCATAACTCCCAATAGTCTGTATAAAATAAATATGATAAATTTCCATAAAAATCAGGACCTGAATTAGAACCTGTTGTCCTTGCTCTTGGAGTACTGCTGGCCTGCTGTGTTTCTGTGATTGCCTTTCTTCTTTTCTACATAAAACAAAGGAGCACAACAAAGGAGCACTGCAGAGGTTGGTTAATACATACACACACACACAAAATACACACACACACACACCCATATATACATATATATATATATATGGACTGCTCCACCTTCCCAACAGTTATAGAAAAGATCCTTAGCAAGTTACCTTGCCAACTTGGGTCAGCAAATTTCTCCTAACCCTAAGTAAGGAATCCACAAAGGACTTAGAAACAGTACATTTCACGTGTGTTTCATTACACGGTGAATACATCATTCCAGTTAAGCCAAAAGAACTTTATTGCCTTCTAAAAGCCTGTCAGTAAAATGTCACAAACAGGACAGGAGACAGGGTGCAACCCTAATCACCTGATTGCCCCGTGTGTATTTAAGTCCTCCGTCTTCCTGTGTTCAGGGTTGCATCGTCTGTGTTACCTGCCACCATGTTGTCACAGTCGTCACAGTCATAGTCATTGTTGTTTATAGTTGAGTTTAGCCACTGTCCTTGTTGTTTTGTCACGCCACCTTGTATCAGCCATAATAATGGCTCGCCTTTTGTATAAAGTTCACTTCCATCTCCTTGCCTGTGTCTGCTCCTGGATTCACCTCACTCACTCCACTCGGTCTGCCCTGCAGACTGTGACATCCAGGTCCCAACCACTTGATGCATTCTGTCTGTTTATAAGTGGCCCTTAATAAAACAGTGTCATGACAGCTGTAACCATATTCCTCATATGTAAACTCAAAAATTCAAAACTCCTTTACCTTTTCTCTTTATAGGGGAAATGCATGCCTCCAGTCATTTTGGACAGGACGTGTCAAATGTGGCTCAAGCAGTTTTGGTAAATATACCTTTGGACATGCTGCAGTATGTCTTGTGGAGAGGGCATGCATAATATCATACTCACAGCATATAAGTTATATATTATAATCTTGTTTTGCCATTTTGTTAAATGTGTTCCAATATCATTATATAATAAACTGGAATAAAGTTACAAGGTAAACAGCAAAGTCTTAAATTAAATATGTAACTTATTAATGATTCTAATCTCAGTAATATCATTTAAATTCATCCTGATTCTCCACCCATGAAATCTGAAATATGTGTCATTTCAGCCTATGAACTATTCATCGGTGCATTTCTCTGCAACAAGTGTAAAAAGAGGGAAGAAGAGGAGAGAGTCACTGCAACACTATGTGTACACTGATGTTAAAGACCACCAGCAATGCTCTGTATAAGCCAAGGGCAGAAGCCAGATGCTCTGACCTTTTTAACTTTTGCTAACAAAAGTTTAATATTTGGAGACCATTCCCCAATGCAAATACTTTTTTATTATCTAAAGACTCAGATCAGCTCAAGTGGGAGAGAACGTCTTCTTAAGTTCCATGTATATATCCATATATACCTATGCTTAGGGTCACATGGGGGATGGAGGTTATTTCAGCTGTCATAAGGTAGAGCACATCTTGGACAGATCACCAATCAGTCATGGTAAATGGTAAATGGCCTGCATTTGTATAGCGCTTTACTCAGTCCCTAAGGACCCCAAAGCGCTTTACACTACATTCAGTCATTCACACATTCACACACACACTCACACACTGGTGATGGCAGCTACATTGTAGCCACAGCTGCCATGGGGTACACTGACAGAGGCGAGGCGACAGAGCGCTACACGTCCACATTCACACCAACCAACTCAATTACAGGATGTCTTTTGCCTTTGACTTTAAAAAGGTGCAAAACAACAGACATTTGTTGTGGACAAGAGTTTGGCAAATGTTTTTTTATTTACATAAGTGGAGACATTTTTACAATATGAATAAATTCTGTATGATAAAGACTGGTCCAGATTTGTACAATAAATCATACAATAAGCTCACTGCTGCAGTTTTTTGTCTTGATACAGATTGTAATGTAAGGTTCTTAAAACCACTGATTGTTTTTAATGTTGAAATCTGTAAATGTCTCTGATATACGGTTATTCTGGATAAAGTGCCTTTACGTGTAGAAAAACTGCAGGTGGGATATAAAGTTGCATTTCCTCAGTATAATAACCATGACCATAAAAATAGAATAGAAATATTCATTTATTTTATTTAACTCAAATAAAATTTGTAACTTTGCTGTAAAAAACTTAAGAAATGTGGGAAAGGGGAGCACGGGAAACTATGTATATTACGTAGCTGGGCATCTCATCACATGTATTGTTTTAATTGGTTTTTTGAAGTATTTGGAGGATTTTTTTCTTTACAGCAGGCTGAAAGGAGATGGCATGAGATGAGAGAGCAACAACTACCACTCATGGCCAGATTAGACAAGAATGTTGTAATTTCTGGCTGAATGGAAGAATGAGATTCATTCAGTATACAATACTGAGTACTACAGCTTATAGGCATTAAAGATAAGCCAACATCAACAAGGTGATCACATACCAAGTGATGCTAAACAGGTTTGCTAATTCAGTGATCCAGCCCTAAAGTCTTGCAAGTCATGTTGATCTTCTGCATCTTCACTGCTTTTGCACCTTTTAATGCACCTCTGTTAGCTTTCATCATGGTAAAGACAGCAGCAGAAAACAACCACATGTCCTTATTCTGGGAAAAAGATAAATAAAAATATTAGCAATATTGAATGCTAAACACCAATACATTTTGATTATTTAACAGAGATAATCCAAGCTTTACCTGTTGATTTTTCTGAGTGCTGAATCTTTTCTGTGGAACAGCACCTTGATTATGGAATATATCGATAAATATTGATAGAAATGCAAAACTTTGTACATTAATTATTTTTAGCTAAAACACTGTGGTAAACTTTAATTGCCTAAGAAATGATCACTAATGTTTTTCTTGATGAGGACAGCTATAATGTTTTATTTAAATTTGATGGGATAGCTATGATTAACTTATATTACCTTCACAATTATCCCTGCTGTTTTTCTTTGACATGCAAATCAGGACAGCTATAACAATCAGACATATAGTCAAGACAGCACACAGCAGAAGAATAACTGTACTGGCACCCTGTGACCACGTACAGTCTCCTGGAACAATAACAAAAGAAGAAATACAGTAACAGATGAGTAAAAGTCAACCTACTGATTAGATTCCTATAAATGTGAAATTTTACACCCAAATACTAATTATGGTCTATACACTTACATTTTTAAATATTCAAATGAACAGATCATGGTACACCTACCTTGAATATTCACTTCAGTTCCATTTCCAAATAATATCTCCCCACATGTGTCCACAGCACAGTAGTAAGTCCCAGCATCAGAGGAGCTGACGTTCTTAGAGAAGCGATAAACACATCTCTCCTGAGTCTCAGATCGATTCTCACATTCATCATGTGTATTTCCATGAGTGTAGATGATGTTTGGATGCGATTTATTTGATCCGGCTCTGAACCAAAAGACACTAAGATCTTCTGAACATGTTGCTTTGTCAAAGACAGAGATGATCGAACATTGCAGAGTCAATGATTCTCCTGGATGGAGTGGGTCTAATACTGGAGGCCACTGAACAACAGTATAGTTTGATGTCATCTGAGTATGTCCTGTGTATTACAAACGATACGGAGATGCTTTAAAGCTTATAGTAGAAACTTTAAAGTTTGTAAAAGTAGCTCAGTCTTACCTTTTACTGACAAATACGTCTCACTCCACTGAATGGGATACATCCACTCAGCTATTCCACAGTGATAGATACCCTCATCCTCTTGGACTGTCTTCAGAACGGTCAGGTTGCAAACATTATTAGCATTTTCCACATTAAATCTCTTTCTAGAAAACTCAGGACTATATTCAGGTGGTGCTGATTTGGACAATGTCACAATTAATTTAAGACCATCTCCAGCACTCTGCTTGTACCAGTGGACTGTTATACTGCCGAATTCTTTAATGGGTAAAGCACATGTTAATGTTGCTGCTTCACCGAGCTGAACTGTTTTTACTGGGACCAGAGAATCTGAAGAAAAAGAAACAGAAAAAGTGTTACAAGAAAAAAAAGAAAAATTTAAATGATAATTGTATTAATTGTATTTTTAGTATGTAGATTTTCAACAAAGAAAATCATTAGTGAAAATAAAAAAGCGCTTAAATTCTCTATAAAAGTTAAGAAAATCATTATAGAGAATAATGAAAAACCACTTACACCCTCGATGAAGAAAACTCAGTGTAATCCATACCATGATCATCTTGGCAATGTCTTTTGCTAGAAGCGTTCTTCATATTTCAGCTAGAAGAGGAGGTGGGATTGTTTTAGACTAACCTGTAAAATGCATCTGATTGGTTATCAAAAAGGTCATTTCAGAAGTCGTCTTACTGTCACATTAGTCTGATCCTTGATTTTGTAAAAATCACTTGTCTTTTACCTTTCATCACAGTTATCCAAGTTGTTTACTTTTTTCGTTTGATGGTTGTTTTGAATGTTTTTGTGTACAAGTTGTGTTCTGACTGATTGGTCTTCTGGTCTTTTGATTTGAACACTGGTAGCTTTGTTTTGTCATATGTACTTCATTCTGCTTATGTCGTGCCTCAAGGCACTTCATGCTGTAGGTTACAGACCCTACAGTATTTTATTAATTAACTTATTAATTAACCACTTTATTTGGTGAGAAGGATAAGCTCAATTTTAACAGGAACAAACCTCTGTCAGAACCAGGTTTAGGTAGTGGCAATCTACCATGACCGTTTCTGTGCTATGTTGAATTCTTTAACCAGACTGAAACACTTCCAATAAGTCAATTATCTGCCAATGGTCTTTTAGAACCTTTAGGAAAACTTTTTCAAGAATTTTAGAAATAAGAGGAAGGTTGCCGCTTGATTTCTAAATAGCTAAGACAGCTGGATTAAGTTTAGGCTTTCTAAGTAATGTTGCTATAATTGACCTTGACAGGCTGTAGTAAATAACTTGAAATGGTTTCTCAGCGGCTCCTTCTCTGACTCCACCTTAGGGTAGAGCTGCTCTTCTAAGCTTATTCTCTCCCACACCTGCAAGTTATTATCCATGTTGAGACTGCTACCTTAAGGACCAGCTGTGCCAGTAATTCTCTGCCAGATCATTCTGTCCATTTTGGTAATTCTTGGATCTGCACCCCACTCGCTCATCAGAAGCTCATCAGCTGTGTGGACCTTCACTGGTGGCTTTGCCCCTTGTGCTGACCTCTGTCTCTGTCATGAGGGCCTAAAGGTCAGTACATAGACGTCGACCAAAGAACAGATTCAAAACAGAGGAAACAGCAATATAGGTTTTCACAAGCTTAATTGCTAAACACAGGACTAAACAGTGACATGAGGGAGAGAAGCTTGGCAGAGAGTCAGAAACTGTAAACAAAGGGAGAGATTGGTTAGAGAAGAGGCAAGGGGAGCTGAGACTGATGAAGGGAGGAAGACTGGATTTGAGTCTTACTTGGCAGGTGGATCATGTAAGGCTCTGGGGGGGAGGTGACTGGCCTCCCCCTGAGTAAGAAGGTTTCAACCTTGCTTTTCCTAAGATCCAAGTGAGGCAGGCAGGTGGAGGAATTGATCCAGAGTGGGGGAGTGCACAGCTAAAAACAACGAGTCTTGCTGTGGAAACCAGTGTCCTAAGAATTTGAGCTGCAGGTGAGTTGAGAGATGGCTTGATGAGGTTACTAGGGCACAACGAAAATGAGGTAAGTAGGAGACTTTAAGAAGGAGTGTGGAGCATGGTTAAAATGTTCAGTTAGCAAATGGTTACACCTGTGTAAAAGCGTTGCTTCATCTCATGGTTCTGATGGGTTATTCTAGCCCAAGAGTTCAATAGATCCCTGGGGGATATTTCCCAGGCCTCTAATGTAATACCACCACACCTGGTGCCTTAGACAGGAGGTACTGCCCAGGAACACTTCAAGTAAGTCAACTCGTGTAAAAGCTGGTAGGATCCGGAGAACAAGGTGGCAGAGATGAGAGAAGCACCAAAGCAAATGCAGCGCTATGTTATGAGGATCACTGGGACAGCGTGACCAATGGCAGGAGTACCTGAAGTCATTGACTGGTGGACTGGTTTTGATTAAGTAGCGAGGAGATGGAAGAAAGCCTGGACAGGTGGAGGTGTATTCTGGATAAAGACTAATTAAGGTTAGTAGAAGGAAGACAGAACATGTGTGTAAATGAGAGGGAGACAGATGTAACAGTGAGGTTGTGAGGAGCAGAGGGACTGAGGGTGGGTGAGTTTAAATATCTGGGATCCCTAAATAAAACAGGTGAGTCTGCTTTTTCTTGAGAATGTGGAATATAATTTTTGGTCATCATACTGGTTATGTGAAATAGGCATTAACTCTGTACATTATACTGGGGTTTTCTTGGTTGATTGTTTGTTTTATTTCACTTTATGAAAGACAATCACAATTGTGATACATGGAAACTTTAGCATTGCTATAATTTTTCTTTCAACCAAGCATGTACAAAGAGGCCTTTCTTCCTCTTATACTTCCTCTCTCTTCCTTTTCTCTCTCTTTCTGTAATATCAAGTAACAGCTACCACTGTTTTATCAAAAAGCAATAGGTGTGAAAAGGTTAGACGCATCCTCACACCTTTTTCTCCCTCATGAGCTGACCGTTTCACACTTTCATGTTTTTTGTGTTTGTTTGTAGTTACAAAGAGAACTATCAACAAAGAGAAGGTAAAGTGCAAATCATTAAGCAACCACACACTGGAGATTTTAGTAAAAACGCTATGATGGGAAATCTCATGAACCGTTGATACTTGAACTGTTCCAGAAAGTCATGGGGATAATCGCGATGTTTCCTGGTAAAATGTGAGATCAGCCTTTGTGTTCTTTTTGATTAGCACTTTTTTCCCCACCTTGGAGCCCTACATAGACTCAATATTTTCCCAGTCTTTCTTATTGTTAAATGATGGTCACTGATGTTAACTGAAGAATGTAGTTCTCTAGATGTTGTGCCTGCAGATCTAGATGTTGTTATTGGCTCAGAACAATATCTCATTTCTTATTTTTGCGGCCCAGATTCATACCGCAGAGATCTCTCAATGATTCCCTTTGTTTTTGACCTTGGTGGCAATGTTGCTTTTGACTGAAATGTAATTTACAAGATAGAAAAGTGAATTCTTACCCGTTTTGCTTACTGTTAATAATTTGATTCAAGAGGATGAATCAGCATACATTTTTCTAATGAACCCTGAAACAAGCGCATGAAATGAAAGTCTGCAAAATGTGTCACTTCTGCTGGAAGACTGAAAAGCATTCACTTGTCACATGTCTATTAGCTAATTATAGGCCTGTTTCCAAGCTTCCTTTACTTTCCAAGGTTTTAGAGAAAATGACATTAAAGTGTGGTTGGCTTTAAACTTTTTAAATTTTAATGAAAAGAAAACAGAGGTGTTGGTTTGGACCCAGTGGTCCCGGTGAGTCGTCCTCTGTTGATTTGGGACCCTTGGAAGTTTATTTTAAACCTGTTATTACTGACCTTGGTTTTAAGTTGGACAGAATCTAGAGCAGTGGTGAAGTCCAGTTTTTATCATTTAAGGCGACTGGCAAGAGTAATCTTTTCTTTCGACCAGCACCTTGAAACAGTGATCCATGCTTTTATTTCTTCCCGTCTGGACTACTGTAACGCACTTTATGTGGGGGCCAGTCAGTCGCTTGCTCTCACGTCTGCTGCTGGTTCAAAATGTCGCTGCACACCCTGTCTGTCTCTTAGGTCAGCTGACCAGCTGCTCCTGGAAGTACCAAGATCCAGGAGGAAGCTCAGAGGGGACAGGGCCTTTTCTATCGTGGCTCCTAAATTATGGAATAACCTGTCCTTGCACTGCATATACTATTATATATTGTACATATATTTATTAGTTTCAGATGTAGCCATTCTTGTATTTGCTTGTTTACATTATTGTATTTTGCACAACTCTGTTGCTTGTGAAGCTCGCACACAAGAATTTCACTCACATGTGCTGTACCAATGTACCTGCACATGTGATGTGACAATAAAAGTGATTTGATTTGATTTGATTAGAGAGCGCCTTCACTGTCCACTTTTAAAACACGTCTTAAAACTAATTTTTATTCTTTGGCTTTTGACCTCAGTGAGACTTAGTTTCTCTTTTTAATTATTAATTATTTATTTTTTTTTATTTGGCTTTTATTTATATCTTATGTAATTTTATTTAGCTTAATGTACAGCACTTTGTGTCAGCTGTGGTTGCTTTTAAAGTGCTTTATAAATAAAGGTGATGATGATGATGATGATGATGATGTGAGACAAAATTAATTTACACTTGGAGGTACAGGAATTATATGGAATGATGAAAGCTGTGCTCTATCTTACAAAACTATGGATGGGAATTACATGTGAAATCCTGTTTTGTGAAGGAACTAAAGTGGAAAAGAATTGCATTTATTTTTGTATTTTTCCTTCTTAGCAAGGCAAAACACAACTTTGTAAAACTACTCTAAAGGTTAGATCTTTGACTAAAAGTAGTAAAGCTAATACAAATCACTACTTTTAATTTTATCAACACATTATCATTAAATTCCCTATTAATAGCACACTATTTCTAGCATAGTATGCAAGTTAAGTCTTGCATTTAGACTGTTATAATAAAAATGAATCATAGGTGTTAATGGTTGTATGCATCTCCATGTTAGCCATGTGATAGACTGACAACCTATCCAGGGTGGTCATCTATTAAAGCCTATTTATAGAATAATTTCACAAACAAATTTCTCTTTTAACCATTATATTTATTCATGTTGCAGAATTTTAGTACAGTTGATACATTACAGAACTGAAATTACATTTCTGCCTTTGACTTTTGCACACAGTTCATGCAACAGCATTCATGCATCAATGCAACGTGTGCACATAATTCATTCTAAATACAAATAAGCATGCTGATATAACATATACTGTATTGAATACTAAAAGAGATAAGAAGCCCATTATTAAAAAGCAAACATCAGCTCGATTATTGCATACTCAATAGGCTAGCTAATTCACTAATCCAGCCCCAAAGCCTTGCAAGCCATGTAGAGTCGCTGCCTTTTCGACATTTTTCCATCCTTTAATGCACCTCTCTCAGCTTTCATCAGGGTAAAGACAGCAGCAGAAAACATCCATGTGTCCTTATTCTAGGAAAGTCAATCAAAGAAAAATATGGGAAATGTTAAAACCTAAACACAATTAGGCTTTTTAAATTAGGACAGCCCCAGTTTTAAGTACTTTACCTGTTGTCTTCTCTGATCACTAAAGTTTTCCTGCAGAACAGCAACTTAATTGCAGAATAATACAGATAACAATGAATTCAAATTAAAAACTTTTTACTTAAATTCATTGATAAGATTGCTATGATTAACTTTAATTACCTTCACAGTTATCCATGCTGTTTTTCTTTGATGTGCAAATAAGGACAGCTATAACAATCAGACATATCGCCAGTAAAGCACACAGTAGAAAAACAACTGTGCTGGCGCTCTTTGACCATGTGTAGTCTCCTGGAACGACAAAGAAAAAAACAAAACATGTGTTTGTTAGTTTATAATTTTTTTCCCTTTTTGAAGTAATGGAAAGCAGAATGATACAATTTTCCCTTTAGAGTGGATGCAAAATTAAATAAGTTTAATGTCATCTCCTAATGAGATTGCTGTGAAATAGAAAATACTTGTTTTACACCAAAATGCTGCTAAATTCAGCTGAAATTTACAAATTTTAAACTTAAATATTCTAATTTTCAAATTAAAAGATGAGTGGTACAGGTACCGTGAATATCCAGTTTAGTTCCATTTCCAAATAATATCTCCCCACATGTGGCCACAGCACAGTAGTAAGTCCCAGCATCGGAGGAGCTGACGTGCTTAGAGAAGCGATAAATGCATCTTTTCTGAGTGTCTGATCTTTTCTCACATTCATCATGTGTATTTCCATCAGTGTAAATGACTGGATGAGATTCATGAGATCTGTCTCTGAACCAAAGAACTCTGAGACCTCCTGGACACGTCTTGTTGACAGAGTGAGAGACTGAACACTGGAAAGTCACTGTGTCTCCTGGATGGATTGGATTTGATCCTGTCAGCTGTTGAACAACTACTGATGCTTTCTGATTGTTTCCTGTGTAATAAAAATGCAAA